CAAGGTTGGCTACTCCAGCCTTATTTACCAGGAACTGAGGGGGAGAGGGGGGAATACTGCCATGCAGAGGACTTTGTACTCTCATTTCACACGGGTACGTTCATGCACCAAAAGTAAGCAGCTAACGCGACGACGAAGATGCTTGCGTTGGTCGATCTCCGTCCATTCTTTTTCCGTTCACCATGTCTCCTCTCACCAAACTATGTATGGCCAACCGGTTTCTCCTTTAGGCTTTGGTCCAGCGTAGTGTTGCCCTCGTGACTAGTAGGCTTCGTACTACTAGTATCCGGGTTGCATGCTCGCTGTTGAAAATGCCTTGTCTTCACTTTGGTAGGACGTTACCCCACGTCCGCTCACGGTCTCCTTTGTCATGTCGCTAGATATACCTAGCCAGCGTCCAAACCGGCTTCTTCTTTCCCATGGTCCCAGCAAGCGTAACGACACCAAAGATGCGTACAGTTTCTGACAGTCTTTACAGAACCCCAGCATCAGTCACGCCATCCAGCTCAGAGGCATCCTCTCCAATCACGAGCACGACTTCTTCTCCTGATACTCCCGAGACAACGGTAACGACACCAACAGCGACAACGCTCGCTTGATAAACACATCATACGTTTTAACGATAACGAATATACGACACGCATTACGATTTGATGCATTATGTTGATTCTTTTTTGATTTTTCAACTCAATACATTCGCTGCGGACGCTGGAGCTTGTCATTGTTATGGACTGAACACAGGCTACAATGAGCCATGGCAGAGGAAGAATCCATTGCTACTTTACTTATTCAATTCAAAATGCAACCATTCCTTGAAAACTTGAACTCGGTGGCTAAAGATGTTGATTCATCAGGATAATCCCGTGATTAAGTAGAGCATGGCTGTTGCAGCGCCTGTGGGACACAGATTACTGAAAGTGGTTTGGTGATGACAGCATTCTGGGGGAAAGCGGCCAGGGCTTCCTATCCCGAAAGGGCAATGGACCTCGGCCCAATCACGAAGGCTTGGTGCGACCGGACACCAACCTCGCATGCGCTGGAAGCTGAACGCCAGCATTACTCTTTCACGACTGCACATCTCCTATACACGTTACCGCGACACGATTAATTGGGCTACGACGACCCTCACGCTACGCATAGCCGCATTGACGCACCCGTGAGTTGCCGGAACGCAGCGTTATCTTTGGTCGTGTTCCGAGATTCCCCACACGCGACGCCTGCTCCACCCCCGAGTACGCGGGCTGCATAGCCCTCTCAACCATCACCATGATACAAGGCACGCGTCGCTGGCTCAGACGCAACCGCACAAACTTTGCCATCGGCGCCGGAGTGCTCGGCGCAGGTTATCTGGCGGGGCAGTATGTCCTGGGCAAGCTCGGGGAGGCGAGGCAGCGCATGAGCGATGATCGCATCGCCAAAGAGAAGTCCGCTTTCAACTCGTCCATCACATGACATGCTCTAACGACAATGCAGTCTACGCCGCCGCTTCGAGCAAAACCAGGAAGACTGCACCTTCACCGTCCTCGCCATCCTGCCCACCGCGACCGAGAACATACTGGATGCCATTCCCGTCGAACAAGTGCTGGAAGAGCTGCAGAGACAAAAGGCAGAGCGCCTATCGCGGAGTGTCGGACCCAGCGAGATTGCCAGTTCAGCGCCCCCGAGTGTAGCAGACACGACCGAGGATGACGCACGGAGCTCGAGTCTTCAGACGGATAGCTTCATCCATGCCAGCCAGATCGCTACAGAGGGTGACAGCAGCACGGGCCCTACCGAGGCTATCCCAGAGGTCAGGGAGGATAGGAAGAGCAAGAAGAGCAAGGCTCAGCTATGGAGCGAGATGAAGATCAGCTGTGAGTACCGTGGTGTTGAACCCGAGACCTGAATACTGACGCGACCAGCCATAACACGCGCCTTCACCCTTATCTACACCCTCTCTCTCCTCACGCTTCTAACTCGCATTCAACTGAACCTCCTCGGCCGCCGAAACTACCTCGCTTCCGTCGTGTCGTTAGCCGCGCCGCAGTCGACAACCGAAGGCGCAAGGATCAACTTGGAGAACAATGACGACGACAACTTCGAGCAAGCATATGGCAACGACTTCGAGACCAACCGCAGATACCTCAGCTTGAGCTGGTGGCTACTACACAAAGGATGCATAGAGCTTATCGAGAAAGTACGGACCGCAGTCAAGGACGTCTTCGGGCTCGTGAACCCAAGAGAAGAGATGACCTTGGAGAGACTGTCGGAACTTACCCTGGAAGTGCGCAAGAGGGTCGAGGGTGCAACAGAGGAAGAGCGAAGGTAGGAACCCCATCTCATCTCAAATGACACCCACTAACCCCTCACAGAACATGCAAGTGGCTCACCTTCCTGCTCCCACCGCAAGACCAGGAAGACTACGTCCTCCGCGAATCCGGCATGACCTCGTCCTCCGAGTCCACATCACCCACAACAACAACCTCTCTCCGTCGCCTGATCGACGAAACCTCTGACCTCATCGACTCGCCTGCCTTCACACATGTCCTCACACAGCTCCTCGACGCTGCCTTCTCCCACCTCGTCGACGTCAAGATTTCACAGCTCTCCTACAAGATCCCGCCCATCTCTGACAACCACGCTCGTGTGCAGGAGATTGTTGGACACGACATCAAGGCCAAGGTTGCGAACAGCTTAGCCGTATTCTGTAGACAAGCGCACAGCATCGGCACCGGAGCTAATAACGAGTACCTCGCTGCTATCGAAGCTGTCGGTGGTCTTGAAGCGTTCGCTGCTGTCGTCTACTCCAGCAATTTCGAGTACGAAAGCCCAGAGGCTGCTGCTGTGTTGAGTCAATCTGCTCCTGCTCCTGTCGAGCTAACAGCGCCGAGCGTGGTGCCTGAGGTTGCAGCTTTACAGGATGTACAAGAGATCAAGTCAGACGATCCGTTCGAGAGCGCCTGGGGCAAGGCGCTGGCGAAAGAGGATGGGAAGCAGTTTTAGGGGATTGTACGATTGTTGCATGTAAAAGTGGTCGTCGCGACGTAGGATTCTTGAGATACCCGTAATTTGAACCTGTAACACTAATATTCCCCGTTCTTCATTCCTCACAAGATTCTGTTCATCTCAATTCCGATAACACGCGTTGTGCCTTCCGGCCTCGGATTGTTGAGTCGTGACGTCAGAGCCATAGTGGGACCTGTGAACACCTCTCAACCACATGTACCTTACGATATCCCTGCCGGTATCCCCCTGAACCACCAATACCAAGTCACAAGCATCGTCGCAGAGCCTCCCTGGTACTCACAATGGCAGACCAGCAAAACGCCTATCAAGGCAAAAACGCCTACGTAACCCTCCTCACCCGCCCCAGCTACCTAGCCGGCGCAATCCTTCTCGCCTACACCCTGCACAAACACTCCCCTTCCACCCCGCTCATAATAACCTACACCCCGGAAACCCTTCCTGAAACCTGCATCAACGCCTTCAAAGCCGAAGCCGCTTACTCAAACATCATCTTGCACCCGGTGGAACACCTCCGCCTGCCTGAGGATGGAACCGAACACGGCATGGTCGCCGAGCGCTTTATCGATACATGGACGAAACTGCGTGTTTTTGATTTGTGGGATATGCCGGGGCAGAAGTTTGAGAGGATTTGTTGGTTGGATGCTGATATGATGATCTTCTCGAACCCTTCGCCCTTGGTCTTCAACGAGGAGAACGACGAGTATTTGAAGGGAGGGGATGGCATGCGTACAATGGCCGTACACACCTGCGTCTGCAACCTCGACCACGATTCCTGGGCCCCTGCGGAATGGAATCCGCAGAACTGCGCGATTGCCAAACTCACCGCACCGGATCAGCTAGCAGAGGTGAAGCCGGAACCATACACCTTGTCGAACTTCAACTCTGGCACTTTCTTATACCGGCCTAGCAAGGAACTGTCTTCCTTCGTACTGAGCAAGTTCGAGGAATTGGGCAATGCAAAGTTACGCGCTATGAAATTCCCCGATCAAGATTTCCTCAACGAAGCTTTCGACGGGCGCTGGAGCAGTTTGAGCTGGAAAACGAATGCGCTGAAGACGTGGCGGTACTGGCATGAGAATATTTGGCGCGACGACCAGGTCGCCGTGCTGCACTATATCGTGGATAAGCCGTGGGTGGCACGGCTGGATGAGGACGGCAAAGCGGGATATTTGGGTAAAGACGGGGTGACGCATGGGTGGTGGTGGGATGAGTATGACACGTGGAAGAAGCAGAGGGAGGCGCAGGGAGAAAAGGACTTGCTGCAGATTGTGGGAAAGTATGCGGCGAGGGAGGATGGGGTGGTGGATGAAGAGATGAGGGCTGTGGGGGGTGGGGCGCAGGACTTTGCGAAGAAGTGGCCTGCTAAGGATGGAGAGGGTGCCGAGGGAGGGGACGAAGAGAAGGGGGCGAAGAGCAATGGACCGCAGTTGTCGGCGGAGGCACAGGAGAAGGCGGAGCAGTTTGGAAAGGTTGAGGCGCCGCAGGGGAAGATGTTGGGGGAGAGGGGGCATGGGCGTGTTGTTAGGGGTGGGAGGGGATTTGGTGGAAGGGGTAGGGGGGAGGGGTGGAGTGTTATGCAGGATTGAGGGTGGTGTAGAGGGTAGATTGGAGTTCTCAAAAGTGTGACAGACGGTTGTAAAAGTATAACGGATAGACGGGCGGGAGAGATTCAACATGGTCTTACTAGAGAGGAAGGGATAGAGAAAAGCATACTGTAGTCGTCAACACGATCGCCTGCAAGTTAAAGAACGGGAAAGTATCTTGTCTTGTATCACTTCTCGCATACATATTCTAAATCAATCATATATATCCCTACTATCATCCCATATGTCGGAAACCCGAACACTGTCATTCAATCCCATATCAACAATATAGACGCAAGCTTTTAGATCGATCTCCTGCCTCCGCTCATCTCCATAGTCAAGCCCCATCAACTCATAAAACCACATCCTTGCCCATGCTCACCCGACTCTTCATACCAGGCATACGCCCCGCTACATAAGATCAATCAGATTCACGCCCTCATCCTCATACTTGATAATCGGACGACCAGTCTCCTTGGCTGCAGGCGACGCGACGTTGTTAGCAAGAACAATGTGTCCGTTATGCGTGAGCGAGGGGCCGCGGAGTTCGGCGGCGAAGGTCGGGCGGGGCGGAGGCATTTTGATGACTGGTTCTTCGCGCTTGTGGATCATGATGCTGTTGGTATTGCCGATGATGCCGTTGGAATGACCGTTGTTGGGGCCGTTGGTGTGGCCACTGGAAAGACCGTTCGTACGACCATCGACCTTGTGATTCATCCTGGAGATTTCTTCGGGATCGTCATCTTCCTTGACAGGTGCGAGAGTCTTCTTCTCGTTTGGAGTTTCCTTCTTCACATCTTCCTTTGTCTGCACGATCTTGTCGTCTCGCTGTAAGCGTCCAACCATCTCACCGATGTTCCAGAGGTTATGAGGATGATTGGCGTCATACAGGAAGTCCAACTCCGGATCATCCCGCGCAATAAGGCCCTGGCGCATTTTACTCAGAGCGACCTGCGTACGATGACACGCGCCATATCCCTCTAGAAAACCGCGCTGATGCGACTCCTTGAGCGCCTCTTTCCGACCCGCCTCTTTACCCGCGCCAAACCCATCGTTATACGCCTCCTCCGCAACCTCATCAGCTTTCTCATGAGTGATGGAGTTGTCAGCGAATTCAGCTTCGAGTTGCTCGCGGGCAATGGCTTTCCAGTTTTGCTCGCGCATTTGTTGGGCTGCTTCGCGGAGACGGAGGGCTTCGATCTTGATGTTGAGTTTACCGTTCATATCAGCCATGGCCCTCTGCGCGCTGAGTTCAGCTTCGCGGCGGGCGTGTTCCATCTGCACGGCACTCATCGGTCTATCGCCGTTCTCTTCTAGCGCGTACATGAGCTGTTTCTGGCCTTCGGTGAGGTAAACTTCTAGCTGCGTAATCTTCTGCTCCCGTTCGTCGAGATCACGCTCTCGGGCTTCGACTTTGGACTGGAGCGTGAGGGTTGTGGCTTGGTCGCGGAGAAGGTTCGTCAACATGACGGATGAGGCTGCTTCGACTTTCTGCTGCTGCTCATCTTCGATAGACTTGCGGAGACGCACGCCGTTGTTGCGCTCGGCATCGAGTTCGTTCTTCAGCTTCATGACCTGTGCGTTCATGCGGACGACTTGTTCGCGATCGCCGTGGTCGCCGCCTCGGGATCCGTGTGAATTGAAGTGGGAGCGAGGGGCGCGCGGAGCATCGTTGAATCGATTGGCTTCATTTGGCGACATCATGTGCTGCATACGTTAGTTTTGCATACATCCAAAGGCTGGTGGAACTGCCTACCCTTGGGTCTGGAAGGCCGAAGAGGCGGGATGGAGGTGACTGGAAGTCAGGACGCATGTGCGGGGGTAGACTATGAGCTGGCCTCGAAGGCTTCGGTGCCTCGATGTTCGCGTCTGTGTCGGTCTTGAAGTCGCTGTCCTCGGTTCCGATGTCGACTTCGGTCTTGGTGGCCTCGACGTGCAGTCCAGGGGGCGATGCCAGAGGAGCTTCCTTCTTGGCGATCGGAGATGCTTTTCTTTACATTAGCAGATGACTTTGGTGATGATAGTGGGACATACCAAGCTTCGACACCGCCTTCTCGTCAATTTGCTGTTGTTGCTCTTGCACAGTCACAGAGCTCGCTCCGACTGCGCCGTCAAGGTCTTGCTCTACGATCTCTCCATCTTCAAGAGAGGCAACACTCTTGTTGTCTTCCACAATAAGCTTGGGTGAGGGGAAGGGAGAACCAAGGGTAGGTGTCTTGACATCTGCCGAATCCTCGATAACGACTTGGTTTTGGGCACCAATTGGCTTCTCCACCTCGGGCGCAGACGTTTTGAACATGACAGGCGAAGGATCGAAGTCCAATGTGTTCGCTTGACTGCAAACCTCTCCCTCGTTTGTCTCTATATGAGAAGCGGCTGTCTTGACGTCTGAGGGCGCCGCGGTGTCTATTTGAATAGCTTGGTCTCTGGAAGTCGCCATGCTGAAGACCTGTGACCGATATGGTGGCAGTTCGGGCTGCAAGAGTACTGTATAGCTTCGACGATGTTGTTGAAGCCAATTGCCCTGTATCCTTGCGATGAACGGTGCCGCTACAGTAGTACTGGCTCAAGCAGTAGTCGAGCAAGAAGAGGCTGGTATCGAAATCGATGCCTAGATAAAGTAGAGAGTATACAGACGTAAGTCTAAAGCGGTAGAGTGCCTGGCTTATATGGATATACAATCGCCTGGTGAGGGGCGCTAGCACGTGAAGGTGTATGGCCGCAATGGCCACCACTCAAGTAAGGAAGTAAGTAAAGGCAGAATCATGTCGTCAGGTCGACGGCGGTGCGATTGAGGTAGATCCACACGCGCTTTCCAATGAATGACTTGCATCCGCGTCGCGCAATGTCACCGGAGCTTGGCTAGTGTGAGGACATAGGCTAACATAACCCGATGTTTGCGTTTGACAGTGTCGTTTGATGCTCCCTAGTGCGCATGTCGCGTCCATCGGTACCTGATGTTGTCACCGAATATCGTGTTCTCAACGATTTACAGTACGCAAAGCGTATAGCCATTTGATAACTTCTACCTGAAGGCTTCGTGGACCCAGTACCGCTCTAATACTTGCTCATAACGCACACCAATGTCAAGGAACGTCTTCGTAGTTTTGGGCGCCGCAGACAACTCGAACTCAGCTTGGAAACTCACGTCTTCCAAGCTCAGATCAGATGTCCTGCATTCCGCGATGAAATCCCGAAGGACAGTTGATTTGTCCAAGCTCTTGTATCCCACCCGGTATTGGCTTTCAACACCAATCAGCATCGTGAAGCTTGTGAGGGACGGTGATAGCAGCTCGGCTATTGGGGGCGCGTTCCTCGAAAAATCGGCGTACGGAGCAGAAGCACCTAGCAAGCAGTTCTGAGATACAATCAACTTGCTCAAACGTTCGAATGGTCGAAGAGTGCCGAGAGGTTCGAGCGGTACCATCTCTACGTAATCTTCGTCTAAATCAGAGTCCGAGGCCTCCTCCTCTGATCGGAAAATGATTTCACGAATATCAAGGTGTAGAGATTCAAGCATATCAGCGTGACGTAAAAGGCTGGCGTACAGGTCGGATGGCGACCCTTCAAAATCCTCGAGAGGCATCCATGTACAGACTAGATGTCTTAAGCCTTCACATGCCGATAGAATACTAGCCATTGCCTCTATCTCGAGGCGACATGCGGTGATTTCGAGGCGCTGCAGCGTTTGCCATGAGCCAAGCTGAGGCATCGATGCTGGCGGTCGTGCCACGACGCTACGCGCTCGGAAGTCGGTGAGCATGGGCGCCGTCGATACCACGGAGCAAATCTGATCAAACGAAATGGTTTCGGCGTGGAGTCCGTAGTGTTGGAGAGTCGTATTGACGCACAATGTCTGAAGCTTACTAAAAACATGTTCGACTCCTGGGTTGGGCGTAGACGAAAGCGTTGTTTCCCGTCCAGGGACGAAGTATCTCCAGAAGGATCGCTCATGGTCTTCTATATTCTCGATCGACAGGTGTTGTAAGTTGACCGCCTGTTTGACAACGTCGGCTAGCATGGTAAGGTAATGTTGTGCAATGGTGTGCGGAGGTATGCTGTCGTTCTGGCACTTCTTGTCCATGCGTCGAATCTCCACGTACTTCAGATACTTGTTAAGTTCCTCACCCGAGCGAGAGGAGTTCAAGATTCTTTCGCGAAACAACTGGAGAGGTTCGGTGTCATGCTCGGCGGCGGTCCCTATGAACGAGGCGTACAGGATTGGGGTAGCCATTCGCCTTAGACAACGAGATGTCAGACAGAGACTGTACAAGGCCAGCCTGCGGATATGGTTGTCGGATTGACGATTTGCCTCTATTGCCACGTTTTCCTGGTGTTCGGTGTACCTGAAGAGCGTGTCGTAAGAGCGAATGGCGTCGAGATGTGTGATTATCTCCTGCACCAGCTCATCTGGTAAGCCCTCAAGCGACGCGTTTTTGGAGCTCATGATCGATCAGTGTATTTGGCTGCTTAAAGTGCGTGTGGATGAGTGAATGCAATGAAATTGAGGTTTTTTGTTGTATGAGCGCAGAGATAAAGGGCGTTGTGGAAGTTGACAGGGCGTTAGGCTGCCACGCCGCTAGCTCATAAGAGGAAAGGTATTGACTGTTACCTAGGTACACACCTGGGCAGGCGCCAGGGAATACCGACAAACCCACATCACGATAGTTACACCTGGGCTGGTGTGTACGTTGACAGGCAAGACTCACAAGATGTTGTTACATTATTATGGGTATATCGCAAGCTCAATCAAACCCTCCAATCAGCTCACACCACTCTCGTCGTCTTCCCAGTCTCGACATCGTAGATCCACCCACTGAACCGAATGTTCTCCTCGATCGCTTTGATCCGCAGCCATTGTATATCCTTCTTGACTTGTATCTCCAGATCACGGAAAGGCCGGAAGTCGAGGGTCTCCACCTCTCTCGCGGCTATCTCTCCCCTCTTCTTCATAACCACAGCTTTCGCAGTCGGGTTATCGAATGTGAGCATGCCGCACCCGGTGTGCTTTACAACGATGACTTCTCTTGTTCCGAGCAGTTGTTGCGATATGACGATGGATCGGAACGCGTCGTGTACACAGCCGCCGGCGTTGCGGATTACGTGGGCGGCCCCGAGAGGGATGCCAAAGGCGGCAGTTGGGTCGATGCGCGCGTCCATACATGTTACTGACGCGTCATGTTAGCGGCCGACGGCTGGAAATGTGGTTGCAGATGCTTACCGATGGTGTATCTTTGACTGGGTGGTAATGCTAGATGGCCCTGGTCGAAGGAAGCAGCATACGCCTGGTTCCCGAGCTCGAGGTTCCTCTCTCCGTGTGTCGGCATTGTCGGTTCTGGTTATTTTAAGGCGTAAGAGGGTATGATGGGTTTACTGCTGGATGCATCGCCATCCCCTGCGACCTTATATATCGCCATGTCGCCGTCCTGATTACTACGATACGCGCCGGTTGCTTTTCGCACCTGAGGAAAGTTGCGGCATTGCGGGGGTGAATTTCGCCATGTTGCTGGCCTGATACAGTTGGCGTTGATACACGAACGACATGCGACAGACGTTACCGCAGCTGCACGTCTCCGGCAGAATGGCATCAACCCAAGCGCGGTTTCATTGGTCATCTCGACAAGGATCCTTAGGCGGATCTCAGGCAAAGACGGCAAAGGGTGGGGCAACCCTTCTAGCGTGTCGCATGCGCATCTTCAGGAGTTCCATTAATCCCGATCCTTCATTCTTGCTCCCACAAGGCGTCAATGCTTCTCTCTGTTAAATCTACTCTTTACCCTCTTGGGTTCCATGCTCATGTAATTCGGCATCCTGACTGAATCGCGCACAGGATAGCGTTCGGCCTGACCCAGGATATCCGAGACATGAAGAGAGATGGAGCCGCTCATCAAACTCGGAGAGTGGATATACCTTCCAGGAGATAAGAGACGGGTTACCGGACGAACTACTGCACACTTCGAATTGCCGTGGCCGCGAAGCTGGCATCAGACGCAATCCCCCAATGGCGCAGTAGAAGTCTGACAGACCAACACCAAACAATCAATAGACTGCGCGTCGTAGACACATATCCGTCGGATAAAGCTTATCGAAATCCAGGTATCATTGCAATGGCCAATTTGTGTAAGGAGATCATCGTCGAATTATCAACACTGGAGGAGCTAGGCCTGAAACGGAATAGCTTCCAAGACCATCACTCCGAGGACAACGCCTGAATCGCCATGGTGCTTCGACTTAAGGAAGACATCTATAAGCCAAGAAGCGTACCGGATTTCTAGGAAGAAGTCGTCGGATGGGGTGGAAAAAAAATACCAATAATATTTACAACTCCACTGCGCACGCTTCGAGGCTGGGTCTGACGCTGCGAGAGCGTCATGCCTTACAAATCAATTCACGGCCTCTCATGAGAGCATGCATTTTAAAGAATACATACATTTCCTCTTTACCTCCTGCTAGACCCGCTATTTCTCAATCATCAATCCATCATGGCCTTCCTACAGTCTCCGGCAATCGACAGCTCGCGCTGGCATCAACGAATCGCGTCAATCACCACCACATCCAACGAAAAGATCCGTCTCAACTACATCGAGTGCGCATCACCACGTTTGGCGAGAAAAAAAGGCGTCATACTCCTCATCCACGGCTTCCCTCAAACATCATACCAGTTCCGGCATGTCATCACGCCGCTATCAGTTGCCGGCTATCGCGTCATCGCGCCCGACTATCGTGGCGCCGGACAATCTTCCAAACCCCTAACGGGCTACCAAAAGACGCAGATGGCGGAGGACTTGCACATCTTGGTTCAAGAACACTTTGGTATCAAAGAGAAGATCAATGTTGTGGGACATGACATCGGTGGCATGATTGCGTTCGCATATGCATCGCGGTACCCCGACGATGTAGCTAGCGTCATTTGGGGTGAATGTCCGCTACCTGGCACATCATGCTACGAGAACGTCAAAGGCACAGCTGACGTCTTCCACTTTGTTTTCCATCAGGTACCCGACCTGCCGGAATTCTTGATAGCGGGCAAAGAGCGAGAATACCTCAAGCATTTCTTTGACAAGATTTCGTATAACAGTGCGGCTATTTCGCCCGCCGATCTTGAGCATTACGCCCTGGTATATTCGCAACCTGGTGCTATTAGGGCGGGTCTGGAGGTCTATCGCGCATTTGAGAAGGACGCTGAGGAGAATAGGCAATGGGTGGCTGAACATGGGAAGGTTAAGGTGCCGTCGATGCTTATGAATGGGGAGAAGTTTATGCTGGCGCAGTCTGCGGAGGGTATGGCGAACGAATATCATGAAGGTGCGGAGATGGTGACCATTGAAGAGGCGGCGCATTACATTGCGGAAGAGAACCCTGAGGCTTTTGTGAAGGGTGTGTTAGAGTTTGTTGCTAAACACTGAGCTCATTCAGCTCGTATAAAACTACCTAGGTACACTGGATTACGACTTCCACATCGGTTTCATATTGACGTCGTGATGGAGCTTATAGTTACGAAACGTACACTATTCACCACGCGACTCCAGCCGCAGAGACCCCTAGCGTTTACTACCAGTCTGGATCCATGAGCGGGCATGCAACCTCAAAGGACTGTCTTGGTAGATGGTTCTCGCCTGCAATCCATATTGGCTTAGACCCAACGTCATCCAGTAATCCACCTTGAAACCTTTGTCGCTGTAGAAGGTGCAGAGTTTCATCATGATAGACTTCCCTACAAAAGCGAGGGAAATTCGAAGACCCGCCGCGTCGGCTGATGTATATGGCAACAGAGAACTCAGGGTCAAGCCTGTGCCTGCATGCCAGAATTGCAGAGTATAGGCCTTTGCGCAATGGCTCACGTTCCAAAGCCAGCTGTATGCGGAGTCCCGCGTTTGTCATGTCGTAATTTGGCATCAAGTCTTGACTATCAACCAGACCGGGCGGATACTCGCATGGTTCGTAGCTTGCTCCGTTAACGAAGCACGACACACTTGGCGCTAGCATGTCGCCGTTGACTGTCTCTGACTCCCAGGCGAAAAGGGTATGGTCAGTGCTTGTCCGCAGAATCTCGAGCTGTAGTCGTCTGAATGCGCTGCTTGTGCCCTCACCGTACAAAGTTGCCATTTTCACGCCGAAGATACCCATTAGGCAGTACGCTTCGTCTTCCGGTCGCGTTGTGACTCTTTTTGCCGCCCACGACATCTTCTCCGATACGCCCACAGCACTGATGGCTTCGCGGTCTCTCAGGACCTCCATAGCAATGTTGGAGGCCATAAAGACTTGACGGCACAAATCAGCTTTTGTGCCGATCTTGTTCCACCTCTTCGCGTAGAAGGTTAATTTGAGCGGAGCGATTAGCTCTTGCAAAGTCCACCCTCTCGAAAACCAAGCTGATCTGGAGAACGTTCCATCCGCCCCGAGATAAATGCCAGCCTGTGTGTCGTCGAGCACGCTCTTGTGTTGACGATACTTCTCTTTTCTGTCGTCGAGCACCACATCGTCCAAGTATGCAATGCACCACGCTGAATGGGTATAATAACTGTACATCGAGTTGATGGCTTCGGATAATTCGGCGCTGGAGCTCTTGTCGATGCAGCAGGTATCGCTCCAAACATAGCTCAAGCCGTGTTCAAGCGCAAGTCGGCACGTCATCTCAAGCTTCGCGAAACCTTTTTTGCTGCGTAAAATACTGAGGTCCGCAGCCATCACGTCTTCGTACAGAACTTCTTGCTCGCGCCATCGGTGTGAAAGGATCGCGTATGGGGGGACGTTACTTCCTACAAACTCCGAGAACGAGATCTGTAGGGAAGGATCGGGAGTATCAATGAACTCAACATGAAGGAGCCGCATAGGTGTGTGACTAGCGTCGCTAGTATATAGATAGCAATGTTTATCGGGTGGCACGCGTTTGTATTACTGAGAAGGTCAAGGCTGGGCAAGGGTAAGTGCGACGTGTCTTGTGCCTCTTGGCTAAGCGGTTCGAGCTCATTGGACGCCTATACGAGACCAATGGCGGGCACACACGGCACGTACAACATGAAAACATCCCAACTGGGTATATCAGTCCTCTTGTAGTCGCGTGAGCACTACGGTACTCTCACATCGAACTTCCCCGTAGCCTCCGGTTTCGAAAGCACCCAAAGTATCCCCTCATCAACACACTGATCCCAATGCTCAGACGCCTTCAACGCTTTCCCAAACCGCCTATGGCCATGCGGCACGCCCTTGAAAAGCGTAGTAGAAGTCGGCACATTAGCCTCTGACAGCTTCTTTGAAAACAACAGTGCCTCATCACGTAGGGGGTCCAAGCCCGCAATACCAAACACCGTAGGAGGAAAACCCTTGACCTCCTCTTCCGTCGCATTGACAACATTCATCTTTGTGTCTTTGAGATCTACATCCCCGATCTTCAGCAGCTTGGTAAAGAAGTCGATGGTTTTCTTCGGCAAAACCGGTGCATCTTCGTTCTCAACGTAGGATGAGGTTGAGGGGTTGAGTAGCTTGCCTGGCCCTTGGTCGTAGGTGGCTGGGTGGGCGAGCATTGGGATGATTAGGATCTGGCCGGCTATTGTGGGCAGACCTGCGATGTCTTCGCTCTTTCCAAGGTGCTGCTCTAGAGTCAGGGAAGCAGCTAGGTTGCCGCCTGCTGAGATGCCACCGACGACGACTTGAGATGGATCGCCTCCGAGCATGTCGATGTTCTTGTGCAGCCAGACGAATGCGTCATGAGTGTCATTCCAGGCGGTTGGGAAGATGTGTTCTGGTGTATGACGGTAGTTGACATTCAGCACCAGGGCCCCAGTCTTGATCGCGGTTTGCGCACATAGCGGGTCCTCGCTACTCAGCGATCCTGTCTTATCGTCAACCAACAGACCTTGATACATCACAAGCCAAACGTGTTACCGAAGATGAAGCCTCCACCGTGGAAGTACAGGTATACAGGAAGCTTCTCGGATGCATCCTTCTTCACGGATCGATAGGTTCGAGCTTCGATGGTTGAGCCATCGCGGGTCGGAATGGCGTGATCTTTGGTCTGGACATGTGGTGCGAACAATTGCTTCACCTCTGCAGAGCGGGCTTCTCGCTCAGAATTGACCGCATTACGCAGAACGATTGGATCCAACGAGATGTCGAAGGTCCGCGCGGGCAGTGTCTTCTCCACTGCCAACCATTCTTCTGACGGTCCGCCGTACTGAGAGAAGTCCATTGTCGATTTGATGAGAAAAGATTTGGTGCCTTGAGTGGAGGGCTTGAAGCGATATGTATCCGAGATGTAGCCAGACTTCGTACGAGCCTAGCATTGACGCGTCGAGTCCCCTTCGTCATATCTGCGCCCGGTCGCTAGCGTCACCCCGCAATGTGCCGAGGTCCTCACATGCATGCCACCAACACCACGTTTGCTTTTTTGGAGCTGCTTGTCGTCGGCGCACCATCATTAACCTAGTCGCTTCGATTCTGGTATCATTGGCTCGGAGATGACTATGTGCTCCTGCTTTTGAACTCGATGATCCAAATCGTCATCCGCAAACACCAGCCAGAAATAACGTCATATACCTGAGTCCAACAAGATGGCTACAGTGTCGTCTGAACCTCCACCACGCGGACTCAAAGGCAAAGTCGCGATCGTGACCGGAGCAGGTTGCGATGGTGATGGAATTGGGAACGGGCGTGCGATATCGATCATGCTCGCCGATGAGGGCTGCCATGTCCTCTGTTTGGATCTGAACATGGAGTGGGCTCAGAAGACTGCAGAAATGGCAGCTTCAAAACCGCATCGCGGAAGAGCTATCGCGATTCAAGCCGATGTCACCAAGGCCAATGACTGCGAGGCTGCAGTAGCCAAAGCAATGCAAGAGTTCGGCAAGCTGGACATACTGGTGAACAACGTCGGTGTCAGCGGTGCATCAGGAACGGCGGTTGATGTCGACATGGAAGCTTGGGCGAAAGGACTTGAGATCAATGTGAGCAGTATGGTGCAGATGGCGAAGTACTGCATACCGGCTATGCAGAAGAACGACGGCGAAACGAAAGGCAGCATCGTCAACATGGGTTCTGTCGCTGGACTGAAAGGCGGCACACCACATCTTTTGTATCCGACCAGCAAAGGCGCGGTGGTGAATATGACAAGGGCGATGGCTGCGCATCATGCGACCGACGGTATCAGGGTGAACTGTGTCTGTCCAGGCGTACGTTCTTCATAGCTGCGGTATAGTGACATACTGACACGAAGGCAGATGCTGTACACGCCGATGATGTACGCAGGTGGCATGAGCGAAGAAGCCCGAGAAGCGCGAAAGAAGAGAAGTCTGCTAGGCACGGAAGGCAATGGATGGGATGCTGCATGTGCTGTGACTTTTCTGAGTTCAGATCATGCGAGATGGATAACGGGTGCGGTGTTGCCTGTCGACGCCGGTGCGACAGCCGCAGTAGGGATCGGTATGCCAAAGAGCGCCAGTGTCAACGGCTAGAGGATGGAGTACATGAGGCTAGATGGCAGTGAGGGAATGCAAGTGCTGAGGTTTGGCGCAAAACGGGAAGGAACCTCGGCACATCGGCACCCGGCGGCTCATTGGCTTGCACCGGCGTCGCAATGCAGCCTCAAAGTCCCGACACCCCTTCCTGTACTTCTCGCGACAACTACACAGCACTTCCATCCCCACATGGCATCAGTCGTACACACGTGATAGGAGTCTCGTAGTCCATATGAGGAAGGACCACATGTGGGGCAGAGGGCTGCCCGATGCGCACACTCATTTGCACCAATCGGAGCCTTCCACAGACATTGAGCCCAGCGGTCCGCTACTCTAGTCCTTTCTAGTTTCTGCGCTGCACCCCAGATTTCCGCTAGAGATATCTTGGCTTCTCAGCAATCATGATGGTCATTCGTGGAAAGCCGGATGATCACAAAATGTAAATCGTGTACGGAAGAACTGGGGTTGTGGCGTATACCTTCAATTTTGTTGCGGCTCAAGATCAAGTGCGATGTCAGATTTCTTATAAGATGGACTGTGACGAATACATGAAGAACCACCAGTCCGACTTCAGGTTTCACCTTCTCTCTTTACCGCCATGAAGTTCCTCCAATCGCTCAGCACATATGTGCTCGCACTCTCTTCCCTCGTCAGCGCAGCAAGCTTCAGCAACCCACTCAAGCAAAAGGATGGCTCAGACCCTCACATCGCCTACACCAATGGCTACTACTACATGATGACGACGACATGGACGAACCTTTCAATCACGAGAGCGAAGACGCTTGGAGGCTTGAAGACAGGGGAGACAAAGGTTGTCTGGACCGACTCGAACCCTGACAGATGCTGCAACATGTGGGCACCTGAGCTGCACTACCTCGATGGTGCTTGGTACATCTACTATACTGCCGGCCGCAGTGGTACCGACAACCTGGATCTCCAGCGCCCTTATGTGCTCAAAGGTGAGAATGTTTCATCGTATAGATGATGAGTAATCTAACAGTCGCAGGTGGTGCGGACCCATTCGGCACATACACCTACCTCTCCCAATTGACCAACGTATGGGGTATTGATGGCTCTATTGTCCGTTTCAGCAAATGGGGTAACTACTTTACCTGGTCTTGCTTCTCCGGCGCCCTTCAGTCACTCTGCATCGCACCCATGACCTCACCTGGCAAACTCGGTGCTACCAAGATCCTCTCTACACCTACTGAGTCGTGGGAGACAAACGGTAGCCCTGTGCAAGAAGGCCCAGTTGCTATGTACCACGGTGGCAAGACCTACATCGCTTACTCGGCAAGCTTCTGCTGGACACCCAACTACAGCTTGGGTCTGCTCACCTGGAATGGCTCGGGTGACCCGGCGCTCAGTGCGAGCTGGAAGAAGAGCAATGGGCCTGTCTTCACCAATGCGAACGGCAACTACGGGCCAGGTCACAACGGGTATGATGATTAGTCGATACCACGCGATATCCGTGCTGACCACGATATAGTTTCTTCACCAGTCCCGATGGCACAGAGATCTGGAACGTTTACCACGCTACTGCTATTCAGACTGGTGCCTGCGATGGCAACAGGTACACGATGGCGCAGAAGGTCAACTGGAACGCTGATGGCACGCCGAACTTTGGAACTCCTATCAGGCCAGGCGCCACACTTGCTGGACCTTCTGGAGAGTAGATCGTCGATCGTAGTTGGCCTGCGATGGAAGCTCTTCTTGTGTATATTTGACGTTGCGCATGTTGAGATGTACTAAACTTTATTCCCTATTAGAATAGTAGTCGGGCCACAGTTTGCGCAAACTACTTGTACCACTCTTCGTATCATGCCGCATATCTGAGCAGCGATTGGAATGTGTGATCATCGTTGTTACCAGGACAACTCTACCAAGGGTGACTGGCCCCAAGCTTGGATCGAAGTCAGCTCATGTCACTGCATAAGAGTCAAAGATGGGGGCTGGGGACCGAATCGATAAACTGAGCTGACCGGGCCGGAGCCGCCGATCATCTGCCTTGCTGTGCACGATGCATACCCTGGTGGAGGTGTAATGTGTTTAATCTGGAAGGCGAGGATACGAAATGCTGATGAAAGAGTAGATCGTGCCGCTGGATGCATACAAAAGATGGCAGGTGAAGGTAGCAAGTGTTAGAGTGTCGGATGACGTCGGGGATGCACGAGTCATGGAATCTGCAAGGTCCCGCACGTGCTAGCGCGTCCCGCGCCAACATGCGTCAGCTGCACCCCGGACTCCGCTTCTGGCCAACTCTATCGCCTCCGCCTCCCTCCGCTCTTCTTCTTCATCACCCATCATCACGGTGTTCAGCTGGCTGGCATCATCAACATTCTCATCAATCTCCAGCTCGATACTGCCAGCTCAGCTATTCAATATGGCTGCTGAGAAAACACCGCTCGTCGCGTCGGACGCGTCTGCACCCGTGCAGCCAAGCCACGTGCAACGCTACTCCAAACGTCAAGCGGTAGGAAGGCTGTTTGCCATCGCCGCCACAGCTACACTCATACTCTATGGAATTCCGCAGGGTATGTGTATCGTCACGTTCAACTGATTCGCGACTAATTGATTTCCAGTCGACTATGAGCCGACCGGCGACTATCCAGAGGAGAGCGAGCTATGTCTGACTCCAGCTTGTGTGCATGCGGCCTCAGAGGTTCTCTACAACCTATCGCCTCAGTATAAAGAGCTTGACCCATGCGACGACTTCGAAGAGCTTGTCTGCGGTGGCTGGAGGGACCGCCATGACTTGCGAGCTGACCAGGGTGATGCCTTTACCGGCACAATCATGTCGGAGAACTCACAGATGCTGCTTCGCCACATTCTCGAGGCTCCTTACCCCAAAGACTCCGAGGTAAGTCTAACCTTACTATGTAGATCAATCCCAGCTAACCTTTCTATAGCATTCTTACTTCTCACCCATGCAGCTGATGTCAACTGCCAAATCCGCCGATGAGGAGAACTTTGACAAGATGAGAGCGGCTTACGATGCGTGCCTCAACGAAGACGAGATCAAGAGTATTGGCGCTGGGCCTTTGAAGCAGGTCCTTGACGAGATCAAGAAGACGTGCTCTGCCATCGCTTCGGACTCCAACTCGATCAAGGACACTATTCTTCTTCTGGCCAAGTACGGCATTACTGGTCTTGTCTCAACTGGCACCGGTGCCGACGACACCGACCCGGACACTGTTGTCGTGTCTGTTGGTGCCCCATACAACTTCGGACTACCCTCCAAGGAGCGCTATGAAGATGAGAAGCTCGTTGAGAAATACCGTGGTGTCGCTGTTGAAGTTCTTAGCGCGATGTATCCCGACCAGGATAAGGCTGTATTTGAGGGTATCATTGACCTCGAAAAGAAACTCGCGGCAGCATCTCCAAGCGAAGAAGACCGCGAAGATGTCACGAAGTCTTACAACCCGTTCTCGATCGACGACGCGGCTGCGATCGCTCCCGAAATCGAGCTGAAGGCGCTTCTCGCAGGCCAGGCTCCAGAGGGCAGCGACATCAAACGCGTCATTGTCACGACCCCGAACTATCTGAAGGAGCTGTCAGTAATCCTCGCAGCTACATCCGAGGATGTTCTTCAGGCCTACTTCATTTGGAAGGCCGTCCAGTCTCTCTCTGCTTACGTCGATGCGGATGCTGTCAAGCCTTACCGTCGGTTTGTCAATGTCCTCGCAGGCAAAGACCCTGACTCCGCTCCTGAGCGATGGCGATCATGTGTCAGCCACGTCGATAATGGATTGGGCTGGATCTTGAGCCGCTTCTTCGTAGAGAAGGCCTTCTCCGCCGAGGCGAAGAAGTTCGGCGATACCATCATCACAGACATCAAGACCGAGTTCGCCAAGAAGCTGAACGCTGCTGAATGGATGGACAAGGATACTGCGAAGAAGGCTGTCGAGAAGGTGCACAACATCGTCCAGAAGATCGGTTACCCCACCAAGAGCCCAAACATCATGGACCCGCCTACGCTTGAGGAGTACTACGAGACCGTCAATGTTTCATCAGACGCATTCTTCGCCAATGCACTTGCCATGCGCCGCTTTGAGGTCAAGGAAGAGTGGTCCGCCCTTGGAAAGCCTGTGGATCGCGACCAGTGGGATATGTCTGTCCCAACAGTGAACGCCTACTACAACCCTCCCGGCAACGAGATCGTCTTCCCTGCTGGCATCATGCAGTTCCCAGTCTTCGACGTCAATGTACCTGCGTACATGTCCTACGGTGCTTTCGGCTCCGTTGCTGGTCACGAACTCAGTCACGCTTTCGACAGCACTGGTCGTCACTACGACCAGAACGGCAACCTCACTGACTGGTGGTCAAACTCAACAGTAGAGGCCTTCGAGCAGAAGGTCAAGTGCTTTGTTGACCAATACTCCAACTTCACCGTTCCCGGCCCCGACGACAAGCCTCTGCACGTCAACGGCAAGCTCACTCTTGGTGAGAACATTGCCGATGCCGGTGGTCTCTCCGCGTCTTTCCAGGCTTGGAAGCGCCGCTCGGCCGAGACGCCCAACCAGAATCTTCCTGGTCTAGACCACTTCTCGCAAGAGCAGATGTTCTTCGTTAGCTACAGCAACTGGTGGTGTGGCAAGACCCGCAAGGATACTGCCATCAACCGCGTGTACACCGATCCTCATGCACCTAAGTGGGCACGTATTTTGGGTACCATGGCGAACTCGAGGGAGTTCAGGGAGAGCTTCCAGTGCAAGGTGAAGGAGCCTACTTGCCAGCTTTGGTAGATGGTGGCGGATTGGGGTGTGCTGGCCTGTATGTGCCATCATAATTCCAACATTATACTAGTTTGCTGGCACATTTGAATCATGTGATGCCACATCATGCTTGATATTTACTAAACTCCATATGCAATCTACAATGCAGTATTATGCCTGCAGAACCAACTCATACTTGCCCGGCTTAAGCGCTATCCTCATCCCCTTCCTCTCTCCCTCATACCCATCTTCCCCAAGTCTTCTCAGAACGACACTACTCTC